GAATGAGTGGAATCTGCAACTGAAAGAAAGGAATCATGGAATCTGAACCCAAGGTTCAAAAAAGGGGAAAGAACTACGGAAAAGGTTCTAAAAAAGGAGAATGGCTCGGCTGGATAGTATAGCCGAGCCAGAAAAAATTCGTAGATTAGGAGCATTTTTATGAGAAGAAAGACNGAAGAATGTAATGGGCTTCTGCAAGGGAATCAGAATAGGTGACAAATGCCACAGAAGGAACAGAATAGGCATCGAGCATAAAAGAGGGCGCAAGCACATTCATTGATGCATCGAATGCTAGTGGTTTCCCCTTATCCCGCAACAGGTTACTACAGAGGAGATTCAAAATTGTCTTTTCAGCATGCCGCTCGACAAATCCCCTGGCTCGGATGGTTTTCCAGCTGACTTTTACAGATTAACTTGGGATATTGTTGGCCCGGACTTTGTTGTTCAAACTAAAAGAAAGAACGCTAATCAAATTCTTGTTATTAAAGGTCCGATCTGATGTTTATGATTTGTTGTGGTTAATCTTCCCAGTACTATCCTGTTTATATTGACATTCTTCTGTTAAGATTTCCCGTTTGAGAAACCCTTTAAGATCTGAGTATCTCGGAATTGAAAATAGGACTTTATTTGCATCCCTTCCATTTCATAGNAATACAGCTAAGGATACCATCAGCTCGCATACTATTTACGGGAAACAGAAGTAGGGCAAAGAGGAAAAGAGCAACCCTGAGCTATCTCGTCATACCAAAGCAGAGAAATGATATTCATTGGAAAATCAAGGAAAACTCAACCGTCTCCCTCTTATAGCGCGCTTAGCAGCTCTTTCTTCTTTATTCCTTTAAGGGCTACTTACATCAACGGCGGTTCGTCCAGGCTAGGGTCTGTTCGAGAACTTCACAACTTCACTCGAGGGCCAACCTCGAAGGGTTTCCTCTCTTTATTCAATNGAACAGCAGCCAACCACCGAGGTTCCTCACTAGATATATAGGACTGGTACCTTCGGTCTCTTGCGACACTCCGAGCAATGTTGCCGCTCTGTTCGCTTCTTTTTCAATGACGGTAACAGACCAACCTTCAATGGCAGATAATTATCAATTTGACTTAGGAGGTTCGATCATCCATATAATATACAAAAAGAAACTCCAGATATTTGATATCTTTCTCTTTAAATGAGATATCAATTCCAGCGACGGTTTCATTAGATATCT